AATGAAAATAAGAATTGCACAAATTTTAACTATAGAAATATATTTTGTTTACTAAAACATTGTACATGTAAACTTAAACTTAACACGAGAGACTCATCGTAACGTTACCGAGCGTTACACTTTTTCATAAGTGACTCCCAGCCGCAACCTAATTTAAGACGTTGTCACGTCAAAAATAAAAACAGTTATATTCTCGAGGGACTTCTCCAAAAAATACTGAAATAAACGAAAATGTGTTGAAATCCTTTGTTCCGAAATTTAATTTTAAATCATAGAATTGGAAACGCCTCGAAATTAAATTTTACCAATCGAACGGTGAATCTTGCCCAATTTTTGTTAATGTTTCTGGAGTTTAAACCACCACGGGATCGGAAACCTGTTTCTTGTGGCTATAGTGAATTATTAATTTCTTCTACCAGAGAAAGCCTTATCTTCACAAAATATTTTGTGAAAACAATATTGATGTTGTTCTTATTGCAGACTGTAAATTTTACATAGGTACCGGTTAGTTTTATTGCTGTAGGATATTGGTTTCAGCCAGTCTGTCACTGATCATTCTGATTAGGTTTAGAATATTCTGTTCTTTATAAGAATGCGATGGGTGGAAATTCTTTTAGACGGAATGTAATGCGATTCGGCTTATTACCAATCCACTATAGCACAAAGTCACTCTTTTTACTATTTCATTATCATTTATTCAGCATAGGCTCTTACAAGCTCTTATAAATATCATTACACCATCAGTTTACAGAAACCACAATAAACATGTATGGCTGTATTTTACAGCCTTAGTCTTAGTAGTACGGCGGACTGTTTCTGCAACTCGACTTTTTTGCAGCCATATCAGAGCTTCAAAAATAGTAAAGACCATTTATGAATTGTCTGTGTTATTGTTTACTATACATATGTGAAAGGTACCTATGATAAATCTACTCATCAATCACTACAACAGCCTAACAAATAAATTGCTGATTTGTATAAAGTTTTCGTTAGCTTAAAATGGTAAAGCTAAAAGAAAACATCCTGTGTTTGGTACCATCGGTAAAGTGGTACTCCTGTTCACGGCGATTCTTCTTATCAATAATTATGTTTTGCAGTAATTATTACAAGTCATTGTCAGTAGTCAATATTCAATATTGTAATTCAAAAGAGTAATAATAGTTTAACGTTCAATAGTCAATGAGTTCTACATTCATTTTTGTACTTTATGTAAGTAGCCAATTGTAACTCGTAAAAGTAGTCTCGTCTTTAGACAAAATTCTTCGAAAATCACACAACAAAAAGTTTTTAACTTTTTCTTGAAATCATAAAGGTAGTCGTTTTTATTTATCTTTGACAGCATCAGTAAACTATTAAGAATAAAAATAGAAGTCACGTCCAGTAAAAGACGTGTCTGAAATATGTATGCCCTTGGGTATGTTACTTATGTAGGTAAATAAAAGTTTGGAGTACAGAGTCCTATTGTTATTCTTTCTGTGACATATTCCTTACAATCTGGATCCAAGGATTAACTTGAAGCCTATGTACCTATTACGTCAACTGAACTTTTTCTAAGTTTTCGTGACCTTCCTAGCCATACATGAACTCTACATTAAATTAGGTAACTTCTGATTTGTTTATGTTCGGACTTTTCTTCTTCTTCTTAACAAATGCAGTCACTCTTGCTGTTTAGTTCAAAGCTATTGATATGATTGATATTCAACAAGGTACATGGTAGCATTTCTCTAATTACTCCAATATTGTGGACGGAAATTTTAAAAGGATAAACGGAAAGAACTATAGCGCCTGATTCTGCCATGTCTTTAGGATTCCAGAATCCTGAAATGAACAGCAGTACATATATCTTTAGCTCTATAGACAAAATGCTATTAATTTAGTTTTAAGTTTGAAGATTCATGTCTAAATCAGAAATATTATAATATATAATATCCATATCATCCATCCATCGCCGCGGCGCTCCAACATTGCAATTAATGAATAATACAATATGCAAAGTACTATTATGAGTTTCGCCAATAATGAACTTGAGAACAATAGGCCTTTCAAGGCGAATTCATTCCATGATTCAAAGAAGTCGTACTTTGTGCTGGAGTTTTTCGGTGCTCAATTGCAAAAAGGTGTTTTCTTCGGTAGTGGTTTTCTATATTTTGCCATGGATACTTATTGGCATCGTGCCATTTTGTACCTGAGGAATGCGCTACAAACATTAAAGTGTCATCACCAGAGTGTTACGATGATTAATTACTACTTTCCACGGTAACAGAAGCAAACGAGCTATTAACTTTACTATGTAGTTTGTAAAGGGAAGTGCCTCCCAAAATGATAAAATGTAATACATACACAGGTAAAGATACGTAAAGGTAATGAGTTTATTAGACTGTGTTCTCAGTGTGTACACATGTATTAATTGACTGAATTGTATTTCTGAAACAAATAATTTCTTAGTATTCTTTTTTCCGCGGCTATCATAATAGTGAATATACTGTTATGATAGCCGCGCTGCCGCGCAGAGTATATTATTCATTAGTTCAAAAAACCGACTATTCGAACTCGTACATGAAGGCTTCCATGCCGTTAGGATAACATTGAAAACTTTTAAAAACAAATATTACAAAAATATGTCCTTTTTTATTTTTATTATTGCCTGTTCCAGCTTCATTATTGCGAAAATATTTTTGCTTTGCTATATTTTTTTAAACTCCTTGTAGGTTTTGGTAACAGAACCTTGAAAACAATACAAGAATTACTGAAGTCATCGTCAATCATTAAAAAAGTGACTTGTGTGTACTTCCTAATTTATTACAGCTAAGTAAATAGAAGGGAAGCGAGCAGTCAAATAGAAAGAAAAGAAGCATAAGTTTTAGTTTTTTTTGCTGGATCCCAAGCCTATTGTCTACCCTGCCAGTTATTAGTTTATTCAGTGTAAGCAACTTTGTGGTTTTCAACATACCAGAAATACCAGCTATCTTCTTACTTACACTCACAAAAGTTCGAAAGCTATGTACAACGGACGGACTTATCGTCTGAATAATCTATCGATATTCGTAATAAAAAAATATGCAGTACGTGTTATTATTGTGCCATAGGTATATTACTTCCTAGGTGCCATTTATCTTGCGTCTTTTGTTCGCCTTCACAGGTATTTGGTTTGTTGAGATGAGAATATCTGCAGAGTGGACATATTTCTTCAATGTACATAGCTAATATTGTGATATAATCAACTGAGTACTGCTATTTATATTTATTAGTTTCTGTGGATGATTAAGTTTCCAGGTTTCCATCAAAAAGGTAGGCTAGTAGTAGGCATCTAGGCTTGGCGCGAGTGAATACTCAGAGGCCCAAGCAAAAACTTTGACAGATTTGTAATCTTATCGTCATCGTAAAATTTGGTATGGAAGGAAACTTTCTATAAACTAAGCAGCGTAAGAACAAACTGACGTTCTTACGCTGCTTAGTTTTCATAGAAAGTTTGACGATGCGATACGATTATGGAGCTGTCAAAGTTCGTAGTTTGGCCTCTGGTATTGCAAGTGTCGATAGGCCTGATTTAAGGCAGGGCTGTGGTCCAGGGGTCTCCACAAGAGGAGTCCCTCAACAGAGGTAAAAAATAAATGGACATGAAATGAGGTCCAAATGGACCTAACTTGGACGGGTCCCCATGCTTACAGCCTTTTCACAAAAAAACTTCTTCGCATATGACCGTTAATTGCAGGGGTGCAAAATCGTAGGTACTTAAGGGTTATTTTAAAATGCGTTAGCAGACTCCACTCCTTCGTTGCCCTAGGGCCTCCACACTGGCTACAATGATGAAATTATAACCATTATACATAGAAGTCATTTATAGACTATAGTGGCCGCTTACATAAGAGAGCTAAAAGCTTGTTTACCACCTCTGCGTAAATAATCAATGCATATAAAAAGTTTTTAGTAGATATGAGTAAGATATGTGCGACACAATCGCCATTCACAAATAAATCTTTCAACATTATCTTAGTAATCTATGCTTCCAACATCAAATCCATTCGTTTATATATATTTTGATTGTTATAAGCTTTTATTATTTTTTAAAACTCTGTTGTGTAGTTTTAATCTGTCATTCCCTAGTCCCGACGAATGCGAGAGTAGGCAAGGAGATGCGAGTTGAGAGGGTGCGAAGTGTGGAGGCTGGGTGATGCTGGGCTGGGATCAGGAGGGTGGGGGGCCCGGGAAAGATTCATTGATCCGAACTACTCTCGGCAAGGCGACAGGGACCAAACAAGGGAGAACGATATCTTAGTATATAGCATCTCACTCATTCATCGTTAAACATTGGAGGATTTTAAACTACCTACCTACCTATTACCAATTGCTACTATTATTTACATTTAGTTTCGACTAAACTTTCGACAAACGATTTGTTTTTATATTATTATGGGTTTAAAAAAATATGTAGATATTTTCTGACTTATCAAGGTACATTTAAAAAAGTGTAATCTCAAAAATTAACACTCATTTTTAAATTAATGAGAAAAGTGTATACTAATATTTTTTTTATTTATTTAACCTAAATTGGTACAGATATATCTGTACTAGGTAAGTATTTAACTTCTAAAAATAAACTAGAGAAACAATTGATTACAATAAAACACGGTGTTTTATTGAGATAAAAAGTTAACTGCCTATTAAGATTAACAAACAAATAAAAAGTTATTATTGAAACAGCTGAATAGATATTTTTATAATTATGTCATTCAACCGACTCACTTAAATTGATAATTGAATAATAATAATAAGCAAGCTTATTTGAGGGTTGTTAAAAGTTGAAAACGATCGCACATCGCGCGGCAGCGCGGGGTAACCGGTCACACTTCCATATTATTTATTTGTGTGCGTAATGTATACAGGAGTAAAAGAGATATAAAAATCGTCTGTTTCCATTCAAAAGCCGAAGACGAGCGGTAGAAGCAGCTATCTCTGTCACACCAGTACAGATTTACACGGAGCGACTCGTTGAGTAGCCACGCGTGCCCGTTCGTTCGGTTCGTTTCGTTGTTGCACATCGACATCAACCGCTTTCAGTGCTACAGCGCGTTCGTCCGCGCTATATCTACATAACCTAAAAGTTAACAATATTCATTTAATTTTAGGGTACTATTTTCATTGTAATTAACATCAAATACTCATGATTACCTCGAATTTATAAGTTAGTGTTGTGAAAAATTAACGCCCAGGAAAGGGGCGTTCGTGGAGTGTATTTTTGTGCAACACAAAGTAAATACAAACGGCAAGCTGTGGGGATCAGGGGCCTTTTTTTTGCCGCCGCAGGGGATGTATTATCCTGTAAGTATACATAACGCTACTATCTTCGTCATGACTGACGTGTTTAAAGGTCATTAATTCACATTCGGAGTCATGGACAAAACAATGTCTTGAGATAACCCAGTAGGTATCGTCCGAAACAATATTTTACAGCGCATGGCGTTATTATGTCTGATTTCTTTGTTATTATTTTAATTAACATAAGTGATCATTGTGTCTCCGTTATTTTGTTACTGTTGCAACCAATGCCATGTAATTAGAGCTAAAACATTATTTATCTAATAGCTTCATATACCTACTACAAAATGACAACTACCAGAGGTTGTCAGGGTTACCTGAACGGACTAGTCATTCACCCATTCTGGTAGGAGGGTATAAATAAATACATTGTCCGCGCCTATTATATATTTTAAAATCCATTACTTAAATTAAAGAAAAAGTATAGGGAATGTGCCAATAAAGCTATCTACGCTTATTGAATTATCAAGTTGTTTAATAATTTTAAGTAAACTAGTGTGAGTTCTGACTTCAAATAAAAGTTAAAAAAATATAATTCATCACTCATCATAGTGTTTATGAAGGTATTAAAATGTACACTACATTGCCTGCCTGTCATTTAAAACATTAAATTATCCTTTTTTGCATAAGCAAAATATCTATGTTTAATTGATTTCTCATTTAGATTGTGATATACTATTTCAAATAAAATTAAGAATTTAATTAAAATTTATTTTGTTGTCAGCAATTTGAATATCTTTTATGTAGTGCAACAGTCGAGGTTCTGCCTTCTGCTTTGACTCTAAAGTGCTAGATTTGAATAATGTTACTTGTGGTGAGCCCCTTCATCCACATGTAGATGTTTGATTTGGTCCATTGTGCATTGCCCATAGATTACTTAATTTCCATAGTACACACAGCTTAATTTGAAATAATAATTATTAAGGTAAAAATTTTCTTTAATTTTACACTATAATGGGCAATGAGCCCACATGGTGGATTATGAACTGTTCTCCCTATTCCATCCATAGGGATGGTCCTTGCCCTAGCTGTGGGATATTAATAGGTTAATGATTATGATAATAATACTACATGACTTTAATATAAAAATTGTTAAAATTATTAATAGTCTTATTGCTCAAAGCAAATTCTTAACTGATATTTCAACTAACTATCCGAGGTTAAATCAATTAATTATTTTAGGCACTTGATCATTCTCATTATCCCATTTTAAGTAAAGATAATTCACAATTTACTTCACATTTTCTCCTTAAATACTGTCTGATTCATAAATTGATCATAGTTTTACACACTACAGTCTGAAATAAAGTTTATTTTTTCTTTTTTTGGGTTCTAGCTGTTATTTTTTAACATTTTATTATTATTATACCGCCTGGTCCTAGGAGATAGCAGATTTCTACCACTAGTTGGGAAAATTATTTTCATATTTTGCTTTTTATCATATTTAGTAATTAGTAATGGTAATATAATATATACCTAGATAAGTTTGTAGAAAAAATATTTAGGATTGATTTAAGACATAAATGAAGCCTGCATGTACAGTAGAACTTGAATAATAAGAGGAAAATAGGCCGTGAGAAACAAAATGAAGAGCTAACACAGACAGGGTTTGAGTGTTATATTGCTTACACATTTGACGAGATATTATTTGGTATGCTTTCAAATTTGACGACAATTCGAGGAGGACATACAATTTAATTCTTAGTTATCGCAAAACATGGACTCAAGTTTGGTTTATTAAGTACATGTTTGCAGACCCAATGCTGTCTCTGTGTTCTGGTTACAAACAAAAACGGGCATAATTTTAGACTAGGTTTAACTTAAGTCAAAGTTTTGTAATAAGAGGGCTGTATCTAAATATGCAGTAAATACAAATGTTCCAGTAAATAATTTGTATTTAATGATTTAAAGAAAATATAACTAGAAAAAAATCCACGCGGACCAGGCAGCAGACGGGACTTGAACCCGCCATTCTTAAGCTGCGAGGCAGCTTCAACTCTTCACATTATAGGTAACCATAATGCGGGTTCGAGTCCCGTTTGCTGCCTGGTCCGCGTGAATTTTTTTCTAGTTATATTTTCTTTAGATTTAAACATCAAGCAGTTACATGCTTTAAAAAACATAAAAATAAAATAAAACGATATTAAAATTTCATAACTATTTGTAAAAAAAATATATTTGTTTGATGCACCATTTTGTGTTATACTTTATTCAAAAAGGCCATGAAATTTCAAATTGATATTATCATGAAAGAGCAATCAATGACACTCCATGCTTATTTGAAGTATTAATTAAATAACCCAACCACTCATTCAAGCACTGAAACTTTTAAATAGGTTTGGATTCAAAATTTTCCAAGATCTATAACATTTTTTTATTTTTAAATCATTTTATCAATATATGTCAACAATAAAACATTAAGTACCTACCTACTATGTACTTTTAGGCAATATTACCAATACTCTTCTTAACTTACCTAAAAGACAGATAAGTCATATTTTGCTTTTCTTAGCGTTGTGGGTTCTACCAGTTTTTCTATATTATACAAACATAATATTATTATCTCTGGTGTTTTGATTTGCTTCACATTAAAGATGCTATGAATATCAATCTTAATCCACCAACATGGCCTAGGATGTATGCCATATGTTTTTATGATTTTGCAAGTGTCTTTATATTATTAATTAAGGATCCCAACAACTAATAATATTAAACTGTTATTCAAATTACATGCCCATATGGGTAATAATGTGAAATGATTTCCTAAAAATAAATCACACTTACAACCTATTATTATATACTTAGTCACAACCAACCTTCATCTACCTACAACCTACTGTTATAAATCTGAAAGTTTGTATGTTTATTTGTTATTTTCCTAATCATGCGAAATTTACTGAACGGAATTAAAGGAGATTGCTCAGCTTCCATACATGTTTGGCCTAAAGACCAATAATCATGATAAATTGTTTCCTAGATTCGAAATTATATATAAATTACTTTAGAAACGAATATTATTGACGGACACCCCTGAGAACTTCTATAAACAATATACACTGAACATATTGAAATAATAAAAAACAAATAAGTTATATAGTAAACTAGGGAAATCAAGCCAAGTACCAAAATTATGGATTAGATTCAGGTATATAGAGCATGTAGATTAACAGATAGTTGCCTGTTTATAAAGTTAATGCATAAGAGTAACTTTTAAAATCAGGTGTCATTTCCGGTTATAATAAGGTACTCTGTGACAGAAACTGTGTGATGATTGTGAATGAGCCACAGATTAGAGAGAATTTTTAAACTCTCGTTAGGTAACCAAAGAAAGCTAAGAGATTTAGGTTCTATAGCCATATATTCAGTAGCTTCATTATTTTTGTTATGTTTTTAAAATAACCATATTTTAGATTTTTGTGTATCACACCTTACAATTTTATTTGTTTATTAATTTATAGTCAGGGAACGTAGGCCCATAGATAGATACCTTAAAGTCTAACATATATACAGATTATAATGTGTTTATGGAGGTGTTTATCGAAAAATGCATGGCAATAGACTTTATGATGTCGCCTACCATCTATAATAATTGTCTGAGCACATTTATATCTAGTGAAAATGATAATATAGTTGTGGATATTAATACCACAGTGTAATAAAAAAAATGATTTATTTTATCGATCAGAATAGATTTGTTTTTATGTTATATAAACAACTTCGATCAGTCTTTGGCTGAATGTTACTACACCCATAGCCATTAAAAATGATTCGTATGTTTTCCAAACCGGTAAAATTAAAAGTCCTTTTTAAACTAAATATATTATACAAAGGTGTCCGTTGAAATCTAATGACTGTAAATTAAAATATAAATTACGCCAAGGATTACCGTGTATGTCAATATTTTTTGTGCATTTAGGCCAATTTGAGCAATCTCCTTTAGAACGCATATAGTTTATAACCTGGAATGACACATAGAATACTTTTTATCCTGTTTTTTTTTTAATATTCTATATTAAAAAAAAACGAAGTAAGAATAAGGAAAAACAACAACATTTATCAGGGATTCCATCCCCTTTCCGAATTGATAAATTACCTATGTATTCCATTAATGCTTTAAATATTAATTTTGACCTAATTCCCACATTAATGGAATAAACACTGTGTCAAGTATTATTGGTACTCATTGTAAAAATCTTAATTGTCTAGGTTCATAACAGTCAAATAAATTGTCAAATAATATTAAAAGAATTAAAATATCAAAGAGAATGAGAATTTGCCAAGGACTAGAATATTATTCTGTCTTCTGATATCGATAAATAAATAAATACTATCCCATTTCGTTGAAAGCTTTATAGTTAAACGTATGCAAGGTAAGTACCTAGCCTATGAGTTCAAAATAAGATCTCATTTTTTCACTAAAAAGTACAGTTCCGATTATGTCATTAGACGCAGGATTCTGCGAATGATCGCTGTAATTTAGCTGCTATTTGTCTCTACACAGCTTCACTACCATGGCCATGTGCCGATGTAGGTAGGCACCAAGCACCCCCTTCCATTCAACTTAGTCTAATTAATGGGCGCATTTATCATTCCAGTTCCATTACACAAAGATTTTTTACGACCAGCCTTAGTTCTTTTTAAACCCTGTGTGTGAGCTTCGTAAGCAGTAGACAAATACGTACTCATTTAAAGAGGGGGTGACAAATAAATACTCTTGACACGTTCATATCGGACAGTTGATAAGATTTTCGTCTGTTCCTCTTGATGGGGTGCCCTAAATAAACATCGATCGAATTTTAGCCGACTCCAGGGATCTTTATATAGGGTTGTCGTGTAAAATGATCGAAAACACACCTGAATTCATTTTAAAGGTATTTTTAACACTGTAATCCTATCATAATAAGCTAAACTCTTGTGTTACAATACAAAAAATAACACAATCTGGATAGCATTATGTAAGCTTTTAATATCAAAAAATCGAAATATTAAGCAAGAGCACAAAA